TGCTGAGCTTCCTGGAGTAGAAGGCACACGGTCTCCAGTCCCCATGCGGGTCTTGCTGCAACAGTACTGCTCCCACGGCTCTGTCTGAGGCGTCCGTTTCCAACCCTCATCGGTCTGCTGGGATTCACATGCAGTAGCTGCTCTTCGGACGAGAAGAGACGGCTTGAGTTTCTGAAAGGACTGCTCCGCTTGCTCCGTCCAGATGAACTTCTTCTTCTTGGAGCTGAGCGTGTCGGTAGTGGCCGCCGTCTGCATCGCGAACCCCTTGATGAACTTGCGGTAAAAGTTGGCGAAACCGACAAACCGCTGGACCTCCTTCCGATTGCGCGGGCTCTTCCAGTCCAACACTGAGCGAACCTTGGCGCTGTCCATGGCGAGCCCCTTGTCCGACAACTTGTAGCCCAGGAATCTACCTCCTTCATGTCGAACTGGCACTTCTCCAGCTTGGCGTACAGCCTGTGCTCCTGCAGTCTCTGCAGAACTTCCTTGACGTCTCCCTCGTGGGTCTCCTCTGATTCTGAAAATATCAGGATGTCGTCCAGGAAGCAGACGCATTTCTTGTAGAGGAGACCCGCCAATACGTGATGCATGAAGGCTTGAAAACAGTGGGAGCCATTTTGTAATCCAAAGGGCATAACTCTGTATTCATAGGTGCCCGGGGCGTGAACATGGCAGTCTTCCATTCGTCGCCCTCCCGTATGCGAATCAGGTTGTACGCCCCTCGCAGATCCAACTTTGTGAAAACGCGTCCTTTCCTCACCGTTGCGAGCAGGTCATCTATCTTGGGCATGGGAAAGGCTGTGGGCTTGGTTTTCGAGTTCAAAATTCTATAGTCCACCACAAGCCTTTTTTGGGGCGTGTCCTTCTTCTTCACAAAGAATACAGGACTGCCCCCCACTGCCTTCGACTCCTGGATGAAACCGCGCTTCAAGTTGAGGTCTATGAACTCCCTGAGTTCCTGCAGCTCATCTTCAGACATGGAATACAGTTTCCCGGTTGGCAGCGTCGCCCCTGGCAGGAGGTCAATCTTGCAGTCATAAGACCTGTGGGGAGGTAGCTTGTCCGCTTCCTTCTCGCAGAAAACCTCCAAAAACGCTGCGTACTTGAGTGGCACTGCTTGCAGCGTGCCTAATTGTAGCTGCGGGTCATCCTCTTCCCCTTCCTGGCTGGGCAGAATGCAATGTTCCGCACAGTATGAGGAGCCGAAGGTCAGTTGTCGCTGGTACCACGCCAATGCTGGGCTGTGCCTGTGCAGCCAACTCATGCCTAATACTATAGGCGTGTCCGACAGTTGGGTGACATTGAAGCTGATGACTTCTCGGTGATTCCCAATTTGCATCACCATCGGAGGCGTTTGCTGCACCACCTGCCCCCAGCAATTCCCTGCCATCCACCGTGACAACTTTCAGAGGCAGCGTGGCTGGCAGGAGTGCTATGTTGTGCTCTTGAAGGAAATCCAGTCCTATGAAGTCTGCGTTACTACCAGAGTCAATGGTAATCGGCACTTCCATAGTGAGTCCATTGGGTAGTTGGAGCGATGCTGTGAGCTGCACCACTGGTTTGGGTGGGAGGGGGTCTGTGGGCTGCAAAATCTCTGGGGACGGCTTCATTGACTTGTCTGGTTGGGCCCCAGTGCCTCTTCCTCCAACCAGACTCTGTCGTTTCCCTGCTGTGGTTCTCTCTGCTGAGTTGCTTCTGTTACTGTTGCTGAGGCTGCAGTGTGCTTGTGGAGCCTCTGGGGACACTCTTTCGCCATGTGCTGAGCACTGTCGCAGATGTAGCACTTCCTGTTCCCTCTAGGAGGCTTCGCTTTGACTGCTCCCGGTGTTAAGGCTCTGGTTGCTGACTGAGCCCTGGCGCCTCCAATCTCCATCGGTTGCTCTCCCCCTCCTTGCGGAGGTGGGGATTGCACACGCGCTGCATCCTTGGGAAGAGGGGAGGTGCTCTCACTGGCGTACGTCCCCAACGTCCTTCTTCTCTGTTCCATGGACGTTCTTCCAGACGCACCCCAATTTGCAGCGCCCGCCGGACAACCTCCTGAGTGCTCTTTGGTCTCTCCCCCCTTGCAATCTCATCTTTCACATTTGCATTCAAGCCTTCCCAAAAAGGTCTCTGGCTGGGGCAGAATCCTTCTCCCATCCCAGCGCATGGACTAATGCAAAAAGCGGGAATGGTACTGCCTTACACTGGCTCTGCCTTGTTTGAGCCCATGTATGTCTTTTCTGGCGATATCAATGTCTATATTTGATAAAAACACGAATCCATCGCTTTAATGAATGCATCCGCATTTTGGAGCGCCGGATCCTTATCTCTCCACAGATTGCGCAGCCACGCTTTAGCTTCCCCATGCAAATGGGACAAGATAAACCCCACCTTCTCTTGCTCATCTCTAAAGTCTTTATCCAGCAGTTCCAGCGCAAACAGCACGTCTGCTCGGAAGTTAGGGTACTGCTGCAAATTCCCATCGAAATGAGATACCAGGCTGCCTCCTCTTTTCCCCAGCCCAATCCCCTCTGATTTGGGTCCCGGTTGCCCCTGCTTAGCAAGCACTTCCAACCTGGCTTGGAGATCCCTGCAGGCGGCAGCCGCTTCCTCTTCCCTTTTCCTGGATGCGAGTACCTCCGCGTTGAGTTGTGTCACTGCATTTTGCAGGGCTGCTAGTTGCTGTTCTGTAGTCATCTTGCCTGACTTTTGTGAGCTCGCGAAGCACCAATCTTCTTCCCTCGCTGCGTCCACTCACGTTACGAGGTTTTTGGTGCAAAACTTTTGGAGATGGAGCTTACTGTCAGAGCTGGCTCCAGGTCCCAGCTCACAGAGGACCAACGCTAGCCGGCAGTAATGTACAAAAGTCTTTATTGAAGTACAGTTTCCATTTTCAAGCCGGAGCGCCCCAGCTCTACGTCTAGGGGTTAGATCGGCGAAGCTCCATCTGAGTCTCCGCCCCCTGTACACCAGTTTAAGATTCTAGCCTTACTCCACCTCTTACGTCTCTCCTTTCTCCTCTGGGTCCTGCTACCCCCCGGGGTCCCTTCCTTCCTGGATTCTTCTGACGCTGACCCCCTGACTCCTCCCCCTCTTTTCGGCGGGCTTTGGGACCTGGCTCCCTATCCGGGCTGCCAACTGCGCCGCCCTCCTGTACATTTGAACTTGGCGCGCGCGCCAGCCTTCAACCTTCCTCTCGACCGTTTCCTCGCTCCCCGATGGAGGCGTGGCCAATCCTGACTCATGTCCTCCCACTGGCAGTGCGCCGCCTGATCCCGATGCCTGGGACTCCTCCCCCCTACTGCATTCTGGTGTGGACGCTGGTCCTGATTTCCAACTGCTGCTCTCTGAGTCCCCTCTGGCCCCTTCTTCCTGGGGTGTCCCCCTCGGCACCCCCCCTTGCTCTGACCAAGGGAGCCCCTTTCTGTGAATCTTCCGATTCGCTGGAAAGACTCAGAGACCTCGGACCGCTGTCATCGCTAACATTTCCTTCGGACTCCTCCCCCTCGCTCTCTATTTCCTCCCTTTCCTGTGCCTCTGCTCCTGAACCCCTGACATTTCTAATTGGTGTTTTTGGGGTTAGAATGCACATTCAACCCAAAATCGCAGAGTGAAATGTTTATCAGCCCAAATCAAGCATAGGTGTTTTGGTTCATCTCAATAGAAAGAGGACAAATAAGCTTGGATTGCTCTTTTGGTGTTCATTCACCCACAAATAGCAAAGCAAAGTGTCATAAGCCTAAACAAAGCAAAACAGGTTATTTTGGGTTCCATCAACATAGAAAGAAGAATCTTGCATTTCGCTTATTTCAAAGTCTTGTTATTTGGTGTTAATGCACATTTACCCAGAAATCGCAAAGTGTATGTATTGAGACCAAAATAACTTCTTTACTCCCCGTAGAGCATTGACTTCCCTCCTTCCCTTCCGCAGGTTTTCTTATTCCAATCTCTAATCCACAGTTCCTTAGTAGTATCTGAACCATGACATAAGATTTATTTCAGTCCTGCTAACGTCCTCAAACTTCAACAGTTCTCACTTATATAATCCATAAATTTACTCCATTCTTTTTGGTACTTTGTTTCCTCCTGATTGCGGATCCTATGGATCAGTTTTGCTAATTCCGCATATTCGAACATCTTCGTCTGCCACTCCTTCACAGTTGGTAATTCCTGTGTTTTCCATTTTTGGGCTATCAAGATACTGGCAGCAGCCATAGCATACATGAATCTTTGGTCCGCCTTCTTGATATCCTCCCCCATCAAACCTAGCAAAAAAGCTTCGGGTATCTTTTTAAATTCGTTATAGATCAGTTCCCAAAATTTTTTCATTTTGTCACATGTCCACCACATGTGGTAGAAATCACCATCCTTTTCTTTGCATTTCCAACAAATTTTACTACTCGTCCTATACATTTTTGCTAGTTTGACCAGCAATATATCATTTTCATTACATTCTCTTTTAGAGTAATGCATGCAGTAAATTTTAAATTCTCAGTCCAAAGTTTCACCCATGCATCATATTCAATGTTGTGCCCAAAATCTATTGCCCATTTTATCATTGCCTCTTTTATCAGTTCATCTTTTGTGTTCCATTCTAGTAAGAAATTGTACATTTTTAAAAGTAATTTGGTCCTACTTTCTAGTATATCAATTTGAAATTTTGATATTTTTTTTTATCATCGAATCCTATTTTTTTATCATCCTTAAACACATCGTTCCCTTGATGGTATTGCAGCCATCCTGTAAATTTCTCCTCAATGCAATTATAAGGCTTCAGTTTCCATCCTTTCTCTGTTTTCATCAGAATCTCCTCATATGTGGCTCACCTCCCCTCCATGTTCAATTTCTTTACTGTTAACATTTCAACTGTGAGACCCACCACGGTGTTTTCCTTTCTTTTCTTTTTTTTATTTTTTTTAACTGAACTTGATTTATTTATTCACTTGTGACAGAAAAAAATAATTCTCTCTCTCCCAGTATTTGTTATACAAGTGGAAATGTAAGTTGTGTTCAACTTCAGTGTTTTCCCTGGAGGGTATCTCTTTTGCTAACTTGCCAATTTTGTGTGTTTTCTTCGTTCCCAGCACAGCTACAGTTTCAAGAGCAGATGCCTCTTATTTTGCCTTTTCCTCTGCTCTTGTTGCAGCCTCTTCACGCCACTTGACTTTCTAAGTTCCAGCTTGTGAGGGATTCATGGCGTTCAACAGCCCTTTTATCAGAGGCAGTCACAGCAAAGCAAGCCATGATTGTCAGGGCAATCATAATGTAACAGGCCTTTACTCGGGCTTTGTTCCTTGCAGCATCCAGCATCTCTGGCCTGCAAAAGAAATTGGGTTGGAACCAATTAGAGCAGCGTTTTTCAACAACCTTCGGTGTTTTCCTTTCTAACAGATTCTTGTTTCTATCCCATACTTCATTGTCAGGGAACTGACATCGGAGCCAGAGGCGGAGGCAAGGCTCCCAAGTGATGCTGGAGAAGGGCCCAGCAGGGAGAGAGGCAGCTCATCAGCTGGGGAAGGAATTCAGCGTAACACCAGGGATAAAGGGGGGCAGATGGGGGAATCGGCAAGGGGGCTCCAGGACTCCTCGCCAGAGACCAGCGGGGAGAGCACGGGTCCTCCGCTACCCACACCCTCCCTTGCAGAAGACTTCCGCGCAGGGAGAGTAGGAGGAGACTTGGAGTCAAACAACTTTTATGCTGGAAAAGGTTTAAGAAACGCCCACTGACGGATTCTGCCAGAGACTGAAACAGTCACGAAGTGAAGGGCTGTCCAGACAGAAAATGTTTAACCAGGCAACCTAGCCAGGAGTGGCGGCAACTTACGCACGAGCAACCCCTATTATTATTACAGCAATCCGTCAGTCTCTGACGTTGCTTGTGCGCAGCGACAGGCAGGCAGCATAATGAGCCAAACCGGAGAAGCCGGCGCCACGGAGGGAGCAGCTGGAGTGCAAAATCTGGTGGAGAGGAACTGAGATTTGGAACAGCATGTGGCTCTTCTGACGGCGCGGTTGGACGAAAGGCGGGCTCATGATGCACAGGTCAGACCCACCCCCGTAGCAAGGAAGGTACCGGGACTGGTACACAAGTTTGGGGGGAAGCCCCAGGACTACAACGCGTTCCGAATGGAAATAGAGTACGCTTTGGAACTGCAGCAGAAGGATTTTGCTGACGATGGGGAGAGGGTGGCCTATATTGTCGGGCATCTACAGGATGGGGCCAGGGAATGGATCAGGCCCCTAATGGCAACGCAAAATGCCGCCTTGAAAGACCTTAGGAAATTCTTCCAGGCGATGGATGCGATGTATTCCAGTGATGTGCAGCAAAGTGTGACTCGGCGGGAACTGTTGGGATGCAAACAGGGGAACCAGTCAGTGAGAGACTACTGGTCGCGCTTTGCAATGTTAATCCACCGGCTCGGGTGGGAATTGGACTCTGAACCCATTCAAATGTTGTTTGAGGAGGGGTTGTCCCCAACGGTGAAGGACGAGCTTTCCCGCACGCGACGCCCGCAGTCGATGGATCAGCTGACCAAGGCTGTGCTTGCGATTGGCATAAGACAGGAAGCGCGGGCTCAGGAGAAGCGCGAAGGGAGAGGGGAACATTGCCATGACTACCGCATTCCTGAAATACCGAGGCAGCCTTCCCCGCCGGCTGAGCCAATGGAAATAGGTGGCGCACGCGCGCACGAGGTTTCAAACTCCAGTGAAGGTCGCAAGAGGGAGGGAAAGGATTGGAAAACCACCAAGAAGTGTTTCCTCTGCCAACGGCCAGGACATTTTGCCAGGGTCTGCCCTCAAAGAAAGGCCTGGCAAGGGATGGTGGGAGCTGCTGGCGGTGAGGAGGAGGGGGAAAAGGGGCAGGAGCAGGGAAACGCCAACGCTTGGCTGCCGATCAGCGGGCACAGCAGCCAGGCCAGCAACCAATAGAAGTGCCCCAGCCAGACCCCCCCAGGGCGGCTATAGCCATAGAACTGGTGCTAGAACTGCCGAATGGGCACCCAGTCAAGGTGAAGGGGCTGCTGGATTCAGGCAGCTCCTGCAATTTCTTCAGCAAGGACTTCGCCCTAGAGCACCAGCTCCACCTGCTGCCCCTGGATTTTCCCTTGCAAGTGACCACTATTGATGGCAGGGAGCTTCTGGGAGGGGAAGTGACGCACCAGACCCCACCAATGAGAATGAGGGTTTCCAGGCACACGGAGACCATTGCCTTTCACGTAGCCACACTGGCAGGGCCCCCAATAATATTAGGGATGAGCTGGCTGGCACTACATGATCAGCGGACGGTCAACTTTGGGTCAGCTCACTGCTTGGAACTGTCTGGGGGGGAAACCCCAAGGATGACCGCGGCCAGGGTGGCTGGGATAGCTGTGGAACCGAAAGGGGAGGTGACACCACAATATGCTTACCTGCAGGAGGTCTTCAGCGAGAAGGAGGCGGATAGAATACCCCCTCATAGACCCTTTGACTGCCAAATCAACTTGCTCCCAGGGGCTCAGCTGCCGGTGGGTAAACTGTATGCCATGTCGGACAGGGAGATGAAGGAGTTGCGGGAGTTTATTGACAAGAACCTGAAAAGAGGTTTCATAAGAGAATCAAAGGCGGTGGGGGGCAGTCCGGTGTTCTTTGTGGACAAAAAAGATACTAATCAACCCAGGCTCGTTGTGGACTACTGGGGCGTCAACCTGGTGTCGGAACCCGTGACCTTCCCAATGCCCAGGATTGACAACATTTTAACACGGGTGAGGCAGGGGAAAATTTTTACCAAGCTGGACCTCAGGGGAGCATACAATTTGATTAGGATGAGGGAGGGGGACGAATGGAAGACCACAATGTTCACCCCTCTGGGGGCCTTTGAGTACTTAGTTATGCCATTTGGATTACAGTCGGGCTCCGCCTGTTTTCAAGCTTTCATGCACCACGTGTTGGGGTCCCTGCTGTACAAGAACTGCGTAGCCTTCTTGGACGACGTCTTAATCTATTCGGACAATGAGAAGCAACATGTCAGAGACGTCAGGGAAGTGCTAAAGAGACTGCAGAAGCACCAGTTGTGGGTCAAGCTGGAAAAATGTCAGTTTCACGCCAGAGAAGTCGAGTTTCTGGGGTACAAGTTGTCAGACAAAGGCCTAGCTATGGACCCAAGCAAGGTGCAGGCGGTGCTGGAATGGAAGGCCCCCAAAACCCGGAAGGACGTGCAGAGGTTCCTAGGGTTCAGCAACTTCTACAGGAAGTTCATCAAGAACTTCGCCCACTTGACAGCGCCCATCACAGATTGTCTCAGTAGCAAAAAGAAGTTTGTCTGGACAGAAAGTGCCCAGCAATCCTTTGAGAGACTGAAGAAGGCGTTCGCTTCGGAAGAGCAGCTCCTGCACGTGGATTTGCAGAAGCCAATGAGACTGGAGACCGACGCGTCAGACCGAGCCATCGGAGCGGTACTGTTGCAGCCAGGGGCCCAGCAGCGCTGGAGGCCGTGCGCGTTTTTCTCGAGGAAGCTGAGCAAGTCGGAGCAAAACTACACGGTGTATGACCGCGAATTGCTAGCAATTTATGCAGCATTTCGACGATGGAGACATCTGCTAATAGGGGCGCAGCACAAGATCCAGGTGTGTACGGATCACAAGAACTTGGAATACTGGAGGACTGCGCGAGTACTCAACCAGAGACAGATTCGATGGGCACAGGAGTTCTCCAAGTTTTCCTTCGAGATCTGGTACGTACCGGGAGAGGAAAACGTAAGAGCAGATGCTCTCCCGGAAGCCGGAGTACATGGAAGGAGACGGACCGCCGGAAGTCAGACACGTGTTCCCCGAGAACCGATGGGTGTGGGGGGGAGTGTTGGTTGGGAAACGAGAACTGGCCGGGCTTACTAGAAACGACGAATTCGCTCAAACTAAAATCCGGGAAATCCGGGACGGAAGGGAAAACCATGGAGGGTTTGAGGAAAAGGAAGGGCTACTGTACTACAAGGGGGGGCTGTATGTACCGGGGGAGACCTTGAGGGGAAGGGTACTCAAACAACTCCACGACAGCCCAACAGCGGGGCACTTTGGTCAACACAAAACCATGTTGCTTGTCACCCGGCAGTTCTGGTGGCCAAGGGTAAGGGAAGATGTACGGGAATATGTACGGGGGTGCGACTGCTGCCAGAGGGCAAAGGGGGAGAGGGCTGCCCCAGCAGGGTTACTAGAACCCTTACCCACGCCGGGAAGACCCTGGGAGGTGGTATCCATCGATTTTATGACAGATTTGCCCAAGTCAAGGGGGAAGACAGCAGTCATGGTAGGGGTCGATCTACTGACAAAAATGTGCCATTTTATAGCTTGCTCACATGCGGTCACGGCAGAGGAAACAGCCAGGTTGTTTGTGGATCACATCTTCAGGCTGCATGGGGCTCCCTCGAGGGTTATCTCCGACCACGGGAAACAATTTACTTCCCGGTTCTGGAGGAAGCTCATGAGCTTGCTGCAGGTCAAAGTGGGCTTCTCGACGGCGAGACACCTGGAAACCAACGGGCAAGCAGAAAGAGCGAACAGTATACTCCATCAATACCTACGCTGCTACGTCAGCGAGAGGCAGAACGATTGGGTAGAGAAACTAGCGATGGCTGAATTTGCGTACAATAATGCTGAACATGTGTCCACGGGAATGAGCCCGTTCATGGCCAATTATGGGTGTCACCCCAGGGCCTTCCCGGGGAGTGGGGAGGAAGGGTGGAGCGTACCTGCGGCAGAGCAGTTTGTGGAAGAAATGGAGGCCCTGCACCAGCAACTTAAGATGAACTTGGAACGGGCCAAGGAAATTTACAAGAGGCAGGCAGACAAGCACCGTAGGGAAGGGGAGACCATACGGGTGGGAGACCGGGTGTGGTTGTCAACCCTTTAAGGGGGGGTGCAAGAAGTTGCAGCCAAGGCGGCTGGGACCGTTTGAGGTAACACAGCAGGTGAACCCCATGGCATTCAAGCTCAAGTTGCCTGACAGCATGAAGATACACCCGGTGTTCCATAGGTCCCTACTCTCACCGTACAGGGAGGGGCGGGAATTACCGGGGCGAGAGGGAGAAGCCACCACACACCCGCAGATAGAGGAGAGGGAACACCACAACCTGGCCACGGAAATACTCGATTCAAGGTGGCGAGGACGCCAGGTGGAGTACTTGGTAGCTTGGGAGGGAGAACCCGGGTCGGAAAACACGTGGGTTCCCGCAGAGGCAATCAATGACGGGTATCTTGTGGAGGAATTCCACAGCCTGTTCCCGGACAAACCTAAACCACTAGCGAGATTCTGGGAGGAGCAATTTGGAACCACAGACGATGAAGAGTATTTTGTGGGTTTTTCTGCCTCCGAAGAGGAGGGAGGAGAGGCTTCGGAGGAAGAAGAATCAGAATGGGAGGCCCACCCTGCGGGAAGGGATCGGAGCGGGTGGGAAGCGGGTTTTGAATCCTCAGAGGATGGCGACAGCTCCTTCCGGGGGTTCCCTGCATCGTCGGCCGAGGAAAGGGACGAGGTTGGATCAAAAGGTAGGGCCGGGGGTGGAGGGGGTCCTGGGGGGGAGGTGGATGTCAGGGAACTGACATCGGAGCCAGAGGCGGAGGCAAGGCTCCCAAGTGATGCTGGAGAAGGGCCCAGCAGGGAGAGAGGCAGCTCATCAGCTGGGGAAGGAATTTAGCGTAACACCAGGGATAAAGGGGGGCAGATGGGGGAATCGGCAAGGGGGCTCCAGGACTCCTCGCCGGAGACCAGTGGGGAGAGCATGGGTCCTCCGCTACCCACACCCTCCCTGCGCAGAAGACTTCCGCGCAGGGAGAGTAGGAGTAGACTTGGCGTCAAACAGCTTTTATGCTGGAAAAGGTTTAAGAAACACCCACTGACGGATTCTGCCAGTGACTGAAACAGTCACGAAGTGAAGGGCTGTCCAGACAGAAAAGGTTTAACCAGGCAACCTAGCCAGGAGTGGTGGCAACTCGAAGCTGCGCACGAGCATCCCCTATTATTATTACACTCATACAAGGCACTCCGTATCACATGGTTTGTAAATCCTCTGTGCACTTTCACTTTAGCATACCAGAGATAGGAGTGCCACCCATATCTGTTATTGTATGCCTCCAAATCTAACAGGTTTGTGTTTTCTAAAATTATCCAATATTTTATCCAACATAAGCAAGCCACTTCATGGTAAAGTTTTAAATCAGGTACCGAAAAACCACCTCTTTCCTTTCTATCCATCAGTATTTTAAATGTAATCCTTGGTTTTCTCCCTTGTCATATACGGTAAAACGTGAGAGAACCTTCTGCCATTCTCTGAATTGTCATATTGCCTCTAATTATAGGAATCGTTTGAAATAAAATACTGTAGCATCTTTGGTAATATGTTCATTTTAATCGCTGACATTCTTCCACTTATTGACAACTTTAGTCTGTCCCATATTTCCAAGTCTCTTTTAATCTCTTTCTACACTGGTTGATAATTGTCATTGAACAAATTTATATTCTTTGTCGTCATCTAGACTCCAAAGTATTTGACTTTCTTAACCACCTTGATTCCACTTTCTTGTTCCAATATTTCTATCTCGTTCTATTCCATATTTTTAATCACCATTTTCGTCTTTGTCTTATTCAATTTGAATCCTGCCAGTTGCTAAAATTTCTCAATTTCTTCCATTGCTTTTTTGACACTCTTTTGGGTTTCTTCTAGAGTTAATACTCTTAAATTAAGCTTAAATTTTTTGGCACCTATTTTAACTCCTTTTACCTCTGATGTTTCTCTCATACAATTTTCTAATACCTCTAATACCATTATAAATAATAGTGGAGACAGTGGGCACCCCTGTCTGGTTTCCTTTGTGATGTCAAATGATTCTGTCAATACATTATTCACTATTAACTTTGCTCTCTGTTCTGAATAGATTGCCTCAATTCCTCTCAGAAAAGAGCCACTTACCCATCATCCCCATACTTTTCTTCATAAATAACCAAGACAGGTTGTCAAATGCTTTTTCAGCATCAATAAACATTAATATAGCTGATTTATTATTTCTAACCTCTAAGTATTCCAGAATATTAACAATGTGTCTTACATTATCTTTTAGTTGTCTGCCTGGTAAAAAACCTACTTGGTCTTTGTGGATCAGTTCATTTAGTATTATTTTTAATCTGTTCTCCATAATGTCCACAAATAATTTATAATCCTTGTTTAACAGTGATATTGGTCTGAAATTACTGACGTTCAAATAATCTGTATCCTGTTTAGGGATCAGCGTTATATAAGCCTCTTTCCAGGAATTTGGTATCTTTCCTCCTTGTAGAATTGAGTTCATCACCTCACAGAGTACCAGTATCAGCTGTTCATTAAGAGTTTTGTAATACTTTGATTCCCCTTCATGGATCACTACCTTGCCATGGCGAAGGGGCTTGAATAACTCAGATAAGCTATGAACTGTGCCGAGCAGGGAACTCAAGATGGACAGGTCATAGTGGAGAGTTTTGACCAAATGTGATCCACCTGGAGCAGAAACCGGCAAGCCACTCCAGTATCCCTGCCAAGAAAACTCCAAAGACAACAGCCATATAAAAGTTATGACGCTGGAAGATGAGCCCCTCTGGTCGGAAGGCGTCCAACATGCTGCTGAGGAAGAGTGGAGGACAAGTACAAGTAGATTCAGAGCTGATGAAGTGGCTGGGCCAAAGCCGAAAGGTCGCTCAGTTGTGGATATGCCTGGAAGCGAAAGGAAAGTCCAATGCTGTAAAGAAAAATATTGCATAGAATGTAAGAACCATGAACCTAGGTAAGTTGGATGTGGTCAAAAATGAGATGGCAAGAATAAATATTGACATCCTGGGCATCAGTGAACTAAAATGGATGGGAATGGGCGAATTCAGTTCGGATTACCATCATATCTACTACTGTGGGCAAGAATCCCGTAAAAGAAATGGAGTGGCCCTCATAGTCAACAAAAGAGTGGCGAGAGCTGTACTGGGATGCAATCTCAAAAATGATAGAATGATCTCGATATGAATCCAAGGCAGACCTTTTAACATCACAGTAATCCAAGTTTATGCACCAACTACTGGTGCTGAATTGACCGATTCTATGAAGACTTACAACACCTTGTAGAAGTGACATCAAAGAAGGATGTTCTTTTCATCATAGGGGATTGGAATGCTAAAGTAGGGAATCAAGAGATAAAAGGAACAACTGGCAAGTTTGGCTTTGGAGTTCAAAACAAAGCAGGGCAAAGGTTAATAAGAGTTCTGCCAAGAGAACAAGCTGGTCATCACAAACACTCTTTTCCAACAACACAAGAGACGACTCTACACATGGACATCAACAGATGGGCAGCATCGAAATCAGATTGATTATATTCTCTGCAGCCAAAGATGGAGAAGCTCTATACAGTCAGCAAAAACAAGACCTGGAGCTGACTGTGGCTCAGATCATCAGCTTCTTATAGCAAAATTCAAGCTTAAAGTAGGAAAAACCACTGGGCCGGTAAGATATAATCTAAATCAAATCCCTTATGAATACACAGTGGAAGTGAGGAACCGGTTTAAGGATTTAGATTTGGTGGACAGAGTGCCTGAAGAACTATGGATGGAGGCTCGTAACATTATACAGGAGGCAGCAACAAAAACCATCCCAATGAAAAGGAAATGCAAGAAAGCAAAGTGGCTGTCCAACAAGGCCTTACAAATAGCAGGGAAGAGAAGGCAAGCAAAATGCGAGGGAGATAGTGAAAGATACAGGAAATTGAATGCAGATTTCCAAAAAATAGCAAGGAGAGACAAGAAGGCCTTCTTAAACGAGCAATGCAAAGAAATAGAGGAAAACAATAGAATGGGAAAAACCAGATGTCACCGGAATGAGGCACAGTGGAGGCTGTGGTGTCTTTAGGATATATGGTTTATTTACACATATATACAACCTGAGCCTATGATGGAGCATTAAGGCCCCCCCCAAGAGTCCTTTTTTCTCCGATTGCTACAACCTTGGATTCAAGCAGAGATCTGGCATAGCTCCTTCTCTCACTTGCTGCTTTTTTCTAGGTCACATCATTGCTCCTCAACTCTCTACTTTATCTCTTGAGGGGTGGGCTCCACCATTTGCTGTCTTGCACTGAGCACCTTAATCTCCCTTAATGGCTAAGGTCAAGATTCTCACTTCACCAGGAAGCTTCCAAATCTACAATTCTATTATTCTAACTGTTTCTTCACCTGTGGATGTGAGAGTTTTCCAAGTATTAGAGGCTTGGAAACTCTGTGTGCAGAAGGGATGATCACCAAAAACTTTAAGAGAAAGAAGTCAGAGAGACACCGAACTTAGGGGTTCAGTTGGAGGCCTTTGACAAGCAGCGAGAGCAGCAGGAAGGTGGCAGGTGGGGAAATGATGGATCCCTGGAGAACTGAGAGCTGTTGCCCCATGGAGAAAACACTTAATCATTGAGTTTAAACTCAATGGACTCTGGAGAAGAAAACTGAAGAAAGTGCTGTGACCAGCTTTTTAAAGGTATGTTCAAACCTTTTGTAGAAAGGACAGCATATCTGGCATCCTGGCTGACATATGATTCAACCTGTGGCTTATGCACCACCAGCTGAAAACAGACCTGGTCCCTTGGTGAAGGGTTGAGGGCCTTCATGCTGCTAGTATGATTTCTAGGACATTAGAAGGAAGCTTTAGCAACTGGCTCTGGTCCGGATCCAAGCCAATCTGGATCTGGAAGTGTCAATGGACACTGATGGAAAAGATTCCATAGAAGTGGAAGATGGTATGGAGGAGATTCTGCAAGCTGGATCAGTTCTGAAAACCAAGGGTACTTTGTCCAGTACGGCTCCACCAAAACTATTTGAGTCCTTTCCATCCTGATTGATCTACATCACCACTCTGTCCAACAACAGGAATGGAGGAAATGCAGAGAGACCTCTGGGCCAATGGGCTGTCAGGGCATCTGCTGGTCCAGATACATGGCAAAATCCTAGAAATAAAAAAGGAGAAGAAACCATCACCCGATGACCTCGGCTGCAACGGGACTGGGATCCAGCGAAGCTTGGAGGAAACCCAGCGGACAACACAACGGAGCCCCCCCCCAGCTGAGCACCCGCCAGACTCAGCTGTCACGGTGGCCACTGCTGCAGCCATAAGGGAGGAGAGGTAGGTGTGAACCGGGAGAGCCAAACCCAACCTCTCTGGAGACCAGCTCGAGGGAAGCGTGCAGAGACCCACCAAAACCATTTTTTAAATTGAACCCCTGACACTTATATATAATGTATATAATGTATATATCATTTTTAAAAAAAACAACAACAAAATTTTCATTAATTTTTAAAATCATCATTGTTATTATATTTCCTTTTCCTTAATTTTTAATACATTTCTCCCTCTCCCCCCCCCTCAATTTTTTTACCTCAATTTTTTCTAACTCTTAAGAATCAAAATGGCGGCACCCATTAGCTTACACCAGATGTAAGGCATTGGGAAGACCCAGTTTTCTGAGTGCATGTTCTGGAAGCTGGGTAATAGGATTCCTTTTGGTGTACCGACCTCCCTGCTGCACCAAGGATTCTCTGCCCAAGGTGCTTCAGGTCATAATGGAAGTTCTCCTGGCGACACCTACTTAGGTTGTCCTAGGGCTGGCATGTCCAACGTGACGTAGGCGATCCAATATAAAAACTGGCAGTGATGGGTGCAGGGTGGGTGGGCGTGCCCTGCCTGCTTCCCCCCGACACTGCCTGCCACCCCCAATGGGGCAGGGGTGAGTGCAGGGTGGGTGCTCGCACCGGCTGCTTCCCCCGACATATATCTGGTATATTGCTTATGTAAAACATATGTGCTGTATTTCTTAGTCTTTTCCATCTGTCATATCACAACAACATAAGCATTACCTATCTATTTCCAAGGCTTCATGCTGTTTTATATTGGCAACCTTCACTCATAATCCTTCAGCTGGCTTCTAAAGTGAAGTGATGCCATGTATAATTGATTTGGTCCCTTGCCATTCTATCTCAAGATCAGACTAAAAGAGAGTACATAAAAAAAGTTCCTCTAAATGTCAAAGAATGCTTGTTACTTCTGCATCCTGGCACCTGAGACAAATCCTTTCATACTGAGTGCTCATGAAGAAAGATGCTCTTCTAAATCAAAGGGTAACAAGGTGTCATCGTTCAATGCCAACAACTCACTGGTGCTGCACAGCTGCCTAGGATGTCAGCCATGATGACAGAAACAAGCTCTGAAGGCAGTGAGCAGTGACATGGGGCAGAACATATTCCTAGAATGTGCCGTTGACCTAACCGCAGGATGTTATGAAGGACTATATCATGCATCACACAGAGGCAAAATTTGGTGTGTCACTGGATGTAACTAAAACAGGGAAGAGCAATCTCCAATCATGACTCCCTGTTGGGTGTTCACACCATGATGCACCAATTTTTTTGGGGGGGGGAGAGGTTTGTTGCCTAAAACTTTACATGTTGGTGGATATACATGTATCTAAAGATATTGGATTGTACACCGGAGAAATATAATCTGGGGACTGGCTCTAAGGGTTTATTTTTCTCCTAAAATATAAACTCTTCTCCTATGGACAATTTTTTTTTTTTTTAAAAAGAGAAGAGGGTGTTAAAGCATCCTCATCTGTTCACAACCCTAGCAGTTCACAGAAACCCACCAGCCTTCTCTCTTTCCATTCATTTCACCATCTTTTCTTTTCCCTGATGAAATGAATTGAGGGCTGCTTGGTAGATTGTTCCCACAGTGGAACTTAGTGGTGAATTAACTGATTTATCCTCTTTCATGGCTGTTGGGTGAAGCAGAATGTGGGGGCAGTGATTTGGGGTTCTCCACACTTGAGGCCCCCGCCTTGCTGAAACTAATCAGGTCTGGGTCTGGTCAGTGCCTGGATGGAGCCAAAAGTTTGCTCCCATGGTGTCTGTGATGAAAGTAGGGCAGAATGCAATTGTAATAAAATACATAATAAAGCTTCACCTTTCCTTTTGCTATTATAGCATTATGTCATTGCCAGACGGAACTGAGGTCTGAGGGAGCAAGGGATTCCAACCATGTCATGCATCTCCACTGCCATATTGCCCCCAACACCCCACCATCTTTTGGATCTGCTGGTGCAGCCTCATCCAGCTGGTGGTAAGTATTAGCAACTAATAAAAGGTACTGGTTGCCCTACTGTGGGCTTTTGACTGCCAGTATTGTGATTTCTACATAAGGAAGCTTTTATTCAGGGGTTTATAACTGCACTTAATTCTGCCATGACAGACGTATCTGAGAGTGTCTTGAAGTACCTGTTCAGCTCGTATAACAATTTTTTCCATATGGACCATTACACTGAAAATGCCAATTGCTGTATTCATGCCTCTTTTTCAAACTCTGGTTTCTCTTCAGATCACATAAATCTTTCATTTATTTAAACATTTTTGTACCACCCCACTCTGAAGAGCCCATAATGCAGTTAACAAGAATAAACTGAATACAATATACTTTAAAACAGGTTTAAATCCCAATGGCGGGATCAAAATACATTAAAAGTCTTACAGAATAAGCATGATTTAAGTGACCAGCTAAAAATAATCAAAGAAGGATTTCCTTAACTTGGGGTGCTGCTAACCAAGAAGGCTCTAGCCCAGTAGCTCCCACGTGAAGGAATTCACAGTTAATAACTCATTCTTGAATTGCCTCCCCTTAAAAATCAAATTGCCACCCTGTGGGGCATGTGCTCCACATTGGGAACCATGGTTCTAGCCTGTATTCCTGGTGACTACAACTTTTAGCCGTGGGACATTTATCTGATGAAAAGAGAGACATTCTCTTCTACATCAGGAAGCTTCTCCCGCATTTTATCTTGCCGCACACGTGTATGTCACATATAAATCTGCCACTTGGAGCAAATTACAACCTATCAGCCTGACCTACCTCACAGGATTGTTGTAATGAAAAAATGTGTGAGGGAATGGGATCGTGTACAACACCTGCCACAGATAAATGGAATGAAGTAAAATTTTAGCTGTAAGCTGCCTTGAGTCCCTGTCAGAGAAAAAGGCAGGATGATATAACAACGGGACTTCTGGCAAGGCAAGATGGCGAGCGCCATGGCTGCACCAAACTCCTAGGGACTGCCATCACCAACTGAGCTGCCTGGTTAGTCCCCCCCCCCCCGGCATCACCGCCACCACCACAATCAAAGGGGAGTCTATCTCTCACTCTTTTCTTTCTCTTTTCTCTTTCCCTTTTCTTTTCCATCTTGCCTTTTATCTCACACCATAACTTGAATCACCACCACCACTTTTGATTTTAAAATATAATTCCGTTAGCCTTTAATTTTTTATCTTTTAAGTTAAGCTAAGTATCTGCGAACTCCCAATTCCAGCTCCCACCCTTAACTTGACCCCACCTCCTCATCTCTGTGTATGAATGTGTATGCAGGTGAGTGTGCAAGCCCCCATCACCCCTCCCTTTGGCCCCATCTGTCTCTTACATGTTTGCCTGTTAGTCCTTTGTGTCACCTGTCTGTCTGTCAGTCCACCAACACGGCTGAGGCAAACATGGTGACCCAAGAGAAGTCACTAAATCACAGTCCAGACAAGACAAGAATGGCTGCTTAACCCCGACAAGAAAGCCACTAATCAACAATGCCTATACAACCCTATAATTCCACAACACACAAGAACCAGCACAACCTAAATACCGAACCACAACATCCCCTACTATAAAAGAATACAGTGCACATCCCAAACCAATACCACCAAGACAATCAAGATGGTATCATCCAGGGAGACAATGAACGACAAAGAGATCGCAACATGCAAAGACCCATGATGACAACCGCCCAACAACAAAACAGGACCTGAAGGAAATGGAACTGAGACTAGCAGAACTATTGAAGAACACAGTGACTCCCCTGAAGACAATAATCAGTGACCTGACCTCCAAAGTGGAAACCCTCACCACCTCCACTCTAGAAAAGGAAAACCAGATTCAAGTAAGAGAAAAAGAACAACTCTGAGAGCAAAACTCATATATGAAAAATAAATTAGCTTACATGGAAAGCCATCAAGAAAGAGAAAGCATGGAAGTGAGAATCAAACTAGCAGACCTTGAAGATCACAATAGAAGGTGCAACGTATGCTTCCACAACTTCCCCAAGAAAGCAGAGGGCAAAAACTCAGCAGATCTCATTGTCTAAAATCCACGATTTCAAACCTGAAACTCGAAGTAGACATCCTGGAAACGGCACACAGAGTATTAAAATCAACAGCAACTCGGCCCTTGATCCTCTTAGAAAATCTTCTAACCACAATGGGACATGGCAAGGGGATGGTATCCGCAATACAGTGGTACCTCAGTTTTGAACAGCTTAGTTCCTGAACAATTTGGAACCTGAACGCTGCAAACCTGGAAGTAGGTGTTCCGGTTTTTGAACTTTGCCCTGGAAGCCGAACGTGCTCTTGAGCTTTCGTTTCTACTGTTGTGCAGAAAATTTGAGTTCCCCGCATAGTAATTAAGGCTTATTTGCTCCCGTTTTACCCTTCAGCAACAAATTTAAGTCCCCCCACATTGTAAATAAAGACTTCTGTTTCTGATTGCGGTATTCTGAGGTGATATTTGGTGGTTTTGTTTTTGCTATCTTTTTGCATTTTTGTTTGTGTGGCTTTTTCATTTTTGTGTCTGTGGCTTGTTTTTCGTTATATGACTGCAGAAATGGATAAAACAATGACTATCATCAGTACAGGTAAGAAAAAAATTGTTTTAATTTTTATCATCTACAATACTGTATTATTTATTTTATAGTACAGAACATTGATTATTGTTTTCATTTTATGGATCAATGGTCTCGTTAGATAGTAAAAATCCATGTTAAATTGCTGTTTAGGGTTGTTTTTAAAAGCCTGGAACAGATTAACCTGCTTTGCATTACTTTCTATGGGAAAGTGCGACTTGGTTTTGGAACACTTTGGTTTTGGAACAGACTTCCGGAACGGATTAATTTGAGAATCAACGTACCACTGTATACAAAACACTGCTCCGAAGCCCCACAAACCCCCTTGACACAATCAAAAAACAATAGGAGGAAGATATAGGCTATGAAATTTTTTATTTTTAAAATAATTTTTATTAAGTTTCATATTACCAAATTAAACACATCAAACCAATTAATCCAAATTATAACAATACAAATCATGTAATCCAAATTATTTTCCAAATTATAAATTTTTGTGGGGGGTACCCATACTTCTTGATCGGCAGGAGTCCAATCCTCAAATATTTGTTCTGCTTTCATGTTAAGAATGATATTTCCAGTCCCTCTTCTCAATCCTTGTCGTTACTCATTTTCCTTTTCATTCACCTCCGAGTTGCTCCACAAGTGGGTTGAAAAAAAAGTCTTATTTGTGTTTCTGAGTGGGCTTTGTACTGCTCTCTTGTAAATCACTCTCATCCAATAGTCCAGGTATGTCCACTCGAGCAAGCAATCGCCATTTTGTCGTTCTGATGAAATACAGTCTAAAAGCTCACTCTTTAACTTTCCCGACCTGTTGCATTGTAAATTAGTCTTTTTCCAGGAGGGCTGCCCCTTCCAGTTCACAATCTCATCGAAAATAATAAATCTTCGGCTCGCCCTCCCCAAGACCAAACCTCCTGCAACACAGGTCTCGTATCAAATCTCCATTCTTACTGCATCACAGAGAGAGCCCTTCTTCTTTCCAAATCCTTCACAGAGTAAAACCTTTAAGTTCATATTATTCCCACACGGCTCATTTTTAGTCCCATTTGCCAATTAATTACTGTGATGGATCTTCTAAGAGGGAGGGTTATTAGTTGATCACATAGAGCAAAAGAAATAAAAAGTCATCCCCCCCTTTCAGTTCCGTTGCATTCTATTCCACATACCATGTCTGTAGTACTTTGATGTAATCTTCCGTCTCAGTCTTCTTCATTTCAGCAGTAAAATTGTTAGCAGATAAAAACCTCCTGCCTCTCTTGAAGCATGTGCGTTATCTTTCACCAATTTTTTTCCTTTTAAGTAACGCAACTAGTTTCGCACCTGGAAGCAGCTTCAGAGGAGTTCTGAGGCCCGCCGAGGGTTGTGCACCCAGTGCCTCTCCCCCTCCTTCTTCCGAACTCGGGGGTGATTTATGGCAGCAGCGGGTGAAAACTGCATCTTTCCCCCCTAGAGAGATGAGGGAGACTGATTTACTCCCCATAATCAGCCTCTAATTACCTCGTGCGAGCTGGATAGATGTTAATATCTGCCATCTTCCAAGGCGCCCCTAGTGGCCCCCCGATATAGGCTATGAAATTAACCCCACCCAATAGACTAGAATGTGGTCTCAACCTCCCTTTAAATTGATATCAGTGAAAAGAAAAGAACCCACTCGTAAACTTAAACTCTTGGTACCATGGAAACTGGTGCTGAAAATGGAGAGGCTGAACCTCCACAGGCACATACCTCCGCATGTGGCGGAAATGCCCCAAAACCCAACTCTTTTGGACAGCAGTCATACAAGAAATAAGCAAAATAACTAAACAGGTATTAGAAATCACCGCAGAACTGGCCCTACTGAACATCTTCCAAGATAACAATGCCCATTCACACTATAACCCACCTACTCTCAGCAGCCAGAAACATCATAGCCATAACAGGGTTGACCTGTTAGGAATAAACATGGAACACTGGTATCAAGTAGGGAAACAGCCTTCTTAGAAAAGCTAACCAAACAATAACAATAATTTATTATTTATACCCCACCCATCTGGCTGGGTTTCCCCAGCCACTCTGGGCAGCTTCCAACAAATTAAGAACTTCCCTAAACAGGGCTGCCTTCTAAAAGTCAGATAGTTGTTTATTTCCTTGAGGGCGTTCCACAGGGTGGGTGCCCTCTGGCTGATTCCCTGTAACCTCACTTTTCACAGTGAGGGTACCACAGAAGGCCCTCAGCGCTGCAGCTCAGTGTCCAGGCTGAACAATGGGGTTGGAGACACTCCTTCAGGTATACTGGACTGAGGCTGTTTAGGGCTTTAAAAGTCAGTACCAACACTTTCGTGCTTGGAAACGTACTGGCAGCCAATGTAGGTCTTTCAGGACTGGTTTTTATATGGTCTCCACAGCTACTCCCAGTGGCTGCCGCATTCTGAATTAGTTGTAGTTTCTGGGTCACCTTCCAGGTAGCCCCACGTAGAGCGTGTTGCATTAGTCCAAGTGGGAGATAACTAGAGCATACACCACTCTGGCAAGACAGGCTGCGGGCAGGTGGGGCCTCAGCTTGCGTCCCCGATGAAGAAGAGTTTGGATTTGATATCCTGCTTTATCACTACCCTAAGGAGTCCTGCCAACCTAGCAGTTTGTTGTTTTTTTTTAATAATTTTTTATTAAGGTTTTAAACAAACAAAAAAGAAAAACAACACACACAAAAAACAATACAAAACTTAACAATAAAAACACAAAACATAACAATTAAAAACAAACTCTCTTTTCCATTTCCAATTTTAAATTACTTATTTTCTGGACTTCCTCATACCTCCCTCTTTTGTATTCCAATCCACATTATTTGTCCAGCAGTTTCTTTTCCACTTTTTAATCCCAATCTTTAATTTAATAAAACGTTAAAATATATAACTTCAACTTTTTAAACCTAATCCTTGATCTTAATGTCATATAGCTTTAAATTTTTCCCTTTTATTATCAAATTTCCATTTCTTTAAACATCTTTAATCTTGATCTTTAATCTTAATCTATCCTTAACTTTAACCTGTACAGCTGGAAACCACTTGTTTTCAGTCCAACATCACTCTAACATTCCTTAATTTTGCAGTGTTTCTGAAGATAGTCTTTGAATTTCTTCCAGTCTTCCTCCATCGACTCTTCTCCCTGGTCACGGATTCTACCAGTCATTTCCGCCAATTCCATATAGTCCATAAGTTTCATCTGCCATTCCTCCAGCGTGGGAAGTTCTTGTGTCTTCCAATACTTTGCGATGAGTATTCTTGCTGCTGTTGTTGCATACATAAAGAAAGTTCTATCCTTTTTAACACCATTTGGCCCACTATGCCCAGGAGAAAGGCCTCTGGTTTCTTGGGGAAGGTATACTTAAATACCTTTTTAATTCATTATATATCATTTCCCAGAACGCCTTAATCTTTGGGCACGTCCACCAAAGGTGAAAAAAGTACCTTCAATTTCTTTACATTTCCAACATTTGTTATCGGGCAAGTGATAGATTTTCGCAAGCTTGACTGGGGTTATGTACCACCTGTATATCATTTTCATAATATTCTCTCTTAAGGCATTACATGCCGTAAATTTCATACCTGTGGTCCATAACTGTTCCCAGTCAGCAAACATAATGTTATGACCAACGTCCTGTGCCCATTTAATCATAGCCGATTTTACCGTTTCATCTTGAGTATTCCATTTCAGCAGCAAGTTATACATTCTTGACAAGTTCTTAGTCTTGGGTTCTAACAATTCTGTTTCTAATTTGGATCTTTCCACCTGGAGCCAATTTTCCTGTCCAATTTAAATACCTCCATTATTTGATAATAATGAAGCCAGTCTCGCACTTTGTTTTTTAGTTTTTCAAAACTCTGCAATTTCAGTCTATCTCCGTCTTGTTCCAAAATTTCCCAATATTTCGGCCATTTGACCTCCATATTGACCTTTTTCAAGGCTTTCGCTTCCATTGGTGACAGCCACCTTGGGGTTTTATTTTCTAGCAAATCCTTATATCTTATCCAAACATTAAACAGCGCTTTCCTGACAATGTGGTTTTTAAATGCTTTATGTGCTTTGACCTTATCATACCATAAATATGCATGCCATCCAAATACATTATTAAAACCTTCTAGATCCAAAATGTCAGTGTTTTCAAGAAGTAGCCATTCTTTCAACCAGCAAAAGGCTGCTGATTCATAGTACAGTTTAAGGTCTGGCAGGGCAAATCCACCTCTTTCCTTTGCATCCGTTAGTATTTTAAATTTTATTCTGGGTTTCTTGCCCTGCCAGACAAATTTAGAAATATCTTTCTGCCACCTCTTGAAACAATCCATTTTGTCCACGATCTGCAAAGTTTGAAACAAAAACAACATTCTAGGCAATACATTCATCTTTATCGCAGCAATACGGCCTAGCAGTGAAAGCTTCAAATTTGACCATATTTCTAAATCTTTTTCACTTCTGACCAACATTTTTCATAATTATCTTTAAATAAATTCCCATTTTTGCTGTCATGTTAATCCCCAGGTATTTAACTTTCTTAACCACTGTTAAACCTGTCTCATTCTGAAACCTCTCTCTTTCAAACGGTGTTAAATTTTTCTCTAGAACCTTGGTTTTTGACTTGTTCAATTTAAATCCTGCCACTTGACCAAATTCTTGAATCAGTTCTAAAACCCTTTTTGTACTAGATTCTGGCTCCTGTAACGTCAATACTAAGTCATCTGCAAATGCTCTCAATTTATAATGTTTAATTCCGACCTGTATACCTTTGACCATCTGGTCCCTTCTAATCATATTCAGCAGAACCTCCAGGACCGAAATAAAAAGAAGTGGGGAAATTGGGCAACCTTGTCGTGTCCCTTTTTCAATTTTAAGTTCTTCCGTCACAACATTATTTACAATTAGTTTAGCCTTTTGTTCTGAATAAATTGCACTTATACCATTCTCAAAACCTTGGCCTACCCCCATACCCTGAAGATTCTTCTTCATAAAATTCCAAGAAATATTGTCAAAGGCTTTCTCTGCGTCTACAAATATCAACACTGCTTTAGTATATTCACTTCTAATTTTTCCAAGATATCAGTTATATTCCTCAAATTATCAGACAAATGTCTTCCTGGGAGAAAGCCCGCTTGGTCTTTACGAATCTCTTCCAACAGCACTTTTTTAAATCTCTTCGCCAAAATATCTGCAAAAATTTTGTAATCCACATTAAGTAATGATATAGGGCGGTAGTTCTTAAGTTGTGTCTTTTCAGTCTCTGTTTTTGGTACAAGTGTAATATATGCTTCTTTCCACGACTCTGGTGCCCTCTTCCCCCTGCCAACCTAGCAGTTTGAAAGCACATCAAAGTGCAAGTAGATAAATAGGTACCACTCCGGTGGGAAGGTAAACGGCGTTTCCGTGTGCTGCTCTTGTTTGCCAGAAGCGGCTTTGTCATGCTGGCCACATGACCTGGAAGCTGTCTGCAGACAAACGCCGGCTCCCTTGGCCTATAGAGTGAGATGAGCGCACAACTCCAGAGTCGGTCACGACTGGACCTAATGGTCAGGGGTACCTTTACCTAAGGAGTCTCAGAGTGGCTAACAATCTCCTTTCCCTTCCTCCCCTACAACAAACACTCTGAGGTGAGTGAGGCTGAGAGACTTCAGAGAAGTGTGACTAGCCCAAGGTCACCCAGCAGCTGCATGTGGAGGAACGGGGAATTGAACCCGGTTCACCAGATTACGAGTCCACTGCTCTTAAACACTACACTTTAATTTTAGTATAGTTGTAAATTGTTTTTATTATTAGTAGACAGCTGCCCTGGACACAGAATTGACCTGTGCCTCCATGGATAGCTGTGAGTCCAAAATTACTCCCAGGCAGCACACCTGGTCCTTCAAGACCCATTCACCCATTCAGGTCCAGGGAGTCCTCCACACCCGCCCGCCCCCTGTCCCCCAAAAACAGTACTTCTGTTTTGTCAGGATTCAACTTCAATCCCTAAAATTAAAGCAATCCCCAACCCAACACCCATCCCACCCCCAAGAAAAAGCACAAAAAGCCCACCATTTAAAACGTCGCAGATAAAATATAATTTAAAAACAATTAAAAAGAGGAACCCTTTCTGCTGAGTAGCAGCCGCAGTCCTTGTGAAGCCTGTCAGGCCCCACCCCCAGCCAGATGGAGAGAGGCAAGGCAGGGCGGCAGCAGCAGCAGCAGTAGTCCTTTATAGGGCTTGTTAGGCCTCGCCCTAAGCCAGGTGGAGAGAAGCTATTTATGACCTAAGCAACATTTAATATTATTTTTGGTAATATATTACCAATTGTGCGGTACATTTCCTCAACTGAAAACTTTTTCTTCTTCTTAACATGATCAGCATGGTATTATAACAAAACTGCCACAGGGCTGCCACATGAAGCCCGCTGAATTCCAGTTCCAAACCTAGAGCCTAGCCATCACCTAATTTCATATGAGATCCATTTAGAGAAGGAGGAGTGCTCCACTTTTCCTCCCTGGACTGGCAATTAAAGTGCTAAGTGGTACCTTTCAGAGAGGCATGGGCCTCCAGTTCTTGATCTTTGTGCTAGACATTCACACCCTTGTGAATAATTTGCAAGTTTTTGTAGAGAGACCATCCACTTCACACATTATTTATATTGTTACACACCACTCTAATTTCCACAACAGTGAGAGAGTCCAGGTGCTCACCCAGGGTTTTTGTTTCCTTTGGAAATTAAGTACAGCAGAGATTGTGCTGTCTTTATGATATATGGTTTATTTACACATACACACTATACAGCCTGTGAGGGGTTCAAAGCACTGCACTCATAGCTGCAAAACTGGATCCAAGCTGCCAGCCCCCATGGTGCCATGACCCCCCTTTCTCCAGCTCACAAATCTCCTTGCAAAAAAGCCTAACTTTCCCTCAGCTTGCATCAGGGGTCAGCAAACGTTTTGATCAGGGGGCTGGTCAACTGTCTCTCAGACCTTGTGGGGGGACCAGACTATATTTTGAAAAATATAAATACCTTGCAAGCCGGTCCCACAGCTGCCTCCAGACCTGGAGGAGGAACACACTCTGCATGCACTCAGGAGCGTGTCTTGGCGCCACCCGCAGCTGCTCCATCGGCCCATACCCCCAGAGCTCCCAGGCGGCGTGCACCACACACTGCGGCCCATCGTCCGAAGCCAGTCGGTGGGCAGGCCACATGCAGAGCGCCGGGCAGGAGGCGTGCAGCTCGCCCTGCAGCGCAGCCGCCAAGCACGCCATCAGCAGCAGTGTCGAGCTGGGTGCCAGGCACGCCAGGCTACAGCTGAAGCCCCGCAACACGCCCGTCACAATGCCTATGTGGCCCAGACCCACCAGCTCTCCATCCATGTCCACGCCGGGTTTACCTCAGCAAGGCTTTGGATTGGTTGCAGGAACATCCTGCATTCAATCCGAAGCTGCGCCAGCGTTGCCGCCCTTCCAGAAACCATGCCAGCATTGCAGAAGTCAGTCCCTGCACAGCGAAGCATCCGCAGCGCGCAGGACTGACTGAGCGGGCAGCAGGGTCCGCGGGCCGGATTTATGAGCCTGGGGGCCACATCCAGCCCCCAGTGCTTAGTTTGCCGACCCCTGTCTTACATTACCCACTCTAATTCTGTCCCTCCCTCCTGCAACTCTGTCTCATCCCAGATGGGGCTCCACCCCGCTGCATCTGCAGAGGGTCTTTGTCTTGCTGATGGCATCCATGATGGATCATCATCCTGTCTTTGTTTGCTTAACAAATCAGCCATTCAGGCTAGTCTAGACACAGGAAGATTGGTTTGGCCTGTAATTTACCATGCTAAACACAGTGTCTAGCATCCAGAAATTCATAGCACTATATTTATTTAGTAATTTATATCCATCCACCTTCCTTCCTTGATGGAACCCAAGTGCTTAGATGGGTTTCTCAGGTAGTATCCCATCCAAGAACTGAGCAGACCCAGATCTGCTGAACTTCAGCAAAATGACTGCATATACAGTGGTAGCTCAGAAGTTGAACATAATCCATTCCAGAAGTCCCTTTGACTTCCAAAACATTTGGAAACCAAGGCACAGCTTCCAATTGGCTGCAGGAAGCTGTGGAGGTCACGTCAGATGTTTGGTTTCCAAAGAACGCTTGCAAACTGGAACACTCATTTCCAGGTTTGCGGTGTTTGGGAGCCAAGGTATGACTGTATACACACGGCTTGCTACCAAGGTACGACTGTATACACACGGCATGCTACCAATATGCATTTCCTCTAAAGATTGAACACCTGAGCATTCACTCATATCTGAATACATGAAATGCAATCTGCATTGCTTCTATAGGCAGAAGATGTGAAAAAGCTAGAGTTAAAATACTGTTATACCCCATAATTACACTATCAATCCAAACCTGAACTTATGTTTTGCCCAATAAATTATTTGCTGTACAAAAAAGAATTATTTCCACATCCCATTCTGTATTCCTGATCAAGATAATGCTGGCGGGGCGCAAGGAATAGCCTACAGTATTCTTTCCAAATCACAGAACATCCTATAACTGTTCTACACTTTGCTTTCCTCTGTGACTAAGCATCTAATGTCTTTCCAGGTACACTTTGTGCTTGGTTTATTTTGTAATCAAAATTCCTCAGATTAATTCCACAGAGCCAAATAAGACAAATGAACATCTTTGAAGGCTCAAAATTAAAAATGTGTGCATGTGTACATATACACCAAACAAATAGTGTGGACAATCCAGGAATTAGAGTGGATGGATGGGCTCCAAAGCATGCATTGAGTTCCCTTCCTGCAGAGGAGTAAAAAGGTGTTCTGAATAATATTCTGAATAATGTTCTGAATAATGCTTGTAGAGGATATCCGTATGTGCATGGTATACTCAGAGAAAATAGATCAGTGTGCTTTTGCTTAAATCTTCCTATACTATATGAGGGGTTTATTTTCATACCAACTTGAACAAGAATGATGGAATGGAGGTCTGCGCCTAGTTGGGGGTGGAGAGAAGGAGGGTGGGGGTGGAGGAGGAGAAGGAGAAGGCACCCATCCTAGGAGGTCCAGATCCACTTCCCAAGACAGCTGCCTCACCCTGCTTCATGGGCAGGGTGGCGCAGCAAAGAGTGTGAGACAGGGGTCGGCAAACTAAGGCCCGCGGGCTGGATCCAGCCCAATTGCCTCCAGGATCCGGCCCACGAACAGTCCGGGGATCGGTGTGGGCCGTTGGGTTCTGGTCTTTTTTTTATTATTTCTTTTCGGCTGCCATTTTTTCCTGCACCGCCATTTCCCCCTCCCTCTCATGCCTCCTCCCTCCCTCCTACTTAAAGTGTGAGCAAAGGTGGACTCCAGTCACGACCAATCTCCTGCAAGGCCCTGGCTAATGGGTGGGTGGTGGCTGCACAGCTGCTCAACAAATGAAAAGTCATGCCCACCTCAGCACGGCGTGGGGACTGTCCAATCAGTTTCCGTTCTGTGCTGAGGCAAGCCCTGATGCGGTCCTTCACTCGCTGAGCGGCCGCCGACACGCAGTGGCTCAACGGATGAAAAGCTGCACCGGAGCCTACCTCAGCACAGCAAGCTCCGATGCAGCCCCTCATTCATTGAGCTGCCGCTGACACGCAGAGGCAGATCCTGCCAGGCACCCTGGACGCTCTTCCTTCCTGCCTCCTGGCGGTCCTGGCTGCACCAGAGGCCACCGCTGCCACTCGGCGTCTGGACAGGAGAGGCCGGCCAGTGCCAGCGCTGCCGCCGCTCTCACCCTGAAGGAATGTCTGAGGGACAGTGGACTGGCCCCCTGCTGAAAAGGTTTTTCGACCCCTGGTGAGTGATCATGGGAGATGGCTTGAACGCAAGTGGAGGAAAGATCCAAATGAATGCAGCCAAGATACTTTGCTGCCTGCCTTGAATCCTCATCATGTCGTCCAGCAGAGGTTTTCCAGGTTGTACTGGGCCTTTTACAGGCTAGAACCGGCAGCTTGCTGCAACATGTTTGCAAAGCATTTTGAGGATAAAATTGCTTGCATCCACCAAGACTTGACTCTGCTGTTATAGTAGAGCACACAGTCTAGTCCTGTTGTGTGGGATGAGTTTCAGTTGGTAAGGCTCGAGGATGTGGACAAGGTGCTTGGATCAGTCAGGGTGACCACTTGCACTCTGGACCCTTGCCCCTCTTTGCTGATAAAAACCAGCAGGGAGGGAACAGCTGGCTGGGCCAGGGAGGTAATCAATGCCTCTTTACGAGAGGGGGTGGTCCCTGCCTGTTTGAAGGAGGCAGTGGTAAAACCACTCCTTAAGAAACCTTCTCTGGATTCAGAAAACCTAACTAACTAGCAGTCAGTTGGTAATCTCCCTTTCCTGGGCAAGGTTCTGGAGCAAGTGGTTGCGGACCAGATCCAGGTGCTTTTGGAAGAAACTGATTTTCTAGATCCATTTCAGTCGGCGTTTAGGCCTGGTTTGGTCGCCCTGTATGATGACCTCTGTTGAGAAAGAGAGAAGGGAAACTTGTCCCTATTAATTGTTCTCACCCTCTCCGCTGCTTTCAATATCATCAATCATGGTATCCTTCTGGAGCGACACTCTGAATTTTGCAGTGGTTCCAGTCCTACTTGGATGGTTGTTCCCAGAGGGTTTCCTTGGAGAAATGCTTAATACATATTAAGCTTGGATCCTAGAACAATAGGCAGGTAGGATCCTAGAATGCAACAACTGATTAGCCCACAGGAGAAGACCAATCAGGCTCCAGGAGGGAAGCAGAATCAGCCAATCAGACGGGACTCATTGTGTAAATAATGTATATAAAGGCCTGAGGTTTGGGGGGAAATTCAATCACTGTTTTACAAGCTGCAATAAAGAGCATGAAATCACTGCAGGACTCCAAGTATATTTCAGGAATGCAGGGGTCCGGCAGGGCTCAATCCAATCCCCCACGTTGTTTAACATCTACATGAATCTACTGGGTGGGGTTATCCGGAAGTTCAGAGTATGTTATCAGCAGTAGGCTGATGACACTCAGCTCTATTTCTCCTTTACATCTGTAGGTGAGGCAGTGGAAGTGCTGGACCAGTGTCTTGCCTCAGTAATGGACTGGATGACAGCCAACAGACTGAAGCTCAATCCAGATAAGACTGAGGCACTATTAGTGGGTGGTTCCCTAGACCAGATGGGTGGGAGGTCGCCTGCTCTTGATGATGTTACACTTCCCCTGAAGGAGCAGTCTTGGGGATACTCCTGGATCCTTTGCTGTCGCTTGAAGGTCAGGTGGCCTCAGTGGCCCGGAGTGCCTTCCCTCAGCTTTGGCTGGTGGCCCAACTACACCCCTATCTGGACAGGGATAATCTAACTACTGTTGTCTATGCTCTGGTAACCTCAAGGTTAGATTAATATGTTATATGTAGAGCTTCCTCTGAAGACAGTTTGGAAACTTCAGCTAGTGCAGAATCCAGTGGCCAGGTTGCTCACCGGAGCAAGATGGTTTGAGCATATTACACTGCACTGGCTACCAATTAGTTTCCAGGCCCAATTCAAAGTGCTGGTTTGTCACCTATTGAAGCATTATCACTTAAAACATTAACAATGAAAGAAATATGGCCAACATATAGAGATTTATTAGTAGAACAAGAAGGAAAGTGGAAATGGAAAGATTATGATGAGATAAAGAAACACCTTCAGAGTTGGTTGCATTATAGGCAATTAAATGAAATCTTCAAGGAAGATAATAAGAGAGGATTCCCTTTCACAGTTTCCAAATTCCAAAAGGATATCATAGATGATAATTCTAAATTGTTAAAGGCGTATAATATTCTGTTGGAATGGGAAACGAAAGATGAGGAAGTTAAAGCAGTAATGATTAAGTGGGCACAAAACATAGGTCACAACATACAATTTGAGGATTGGATAAGGCTTTGGAAAATGAACTTATAAATTTACGATTGCATATTGTTGAAAAAGAACTATATGAAAATGATGTACTGGTGGTCCATTACACCATTAAAACTGGCCAAAATGTACAAAGGAGATGTAAAGAAGGGGAAGGTACATTTTATCACATGTGGTGGGATTGTAGGATTATTTTAAAAAATACAGACTCCGCTAACTCAGAAATATTACCTCGGGTTAAGAACTTAGCTTCAGGATGAGAACAGAAATCGCACGGCGGCAGCGCAGCAGCAGTGGGAGGCCTCATTAGCTAAAGTGGTGCTTCAGGTTAAGAACGGAACTCCAGAACGAATTAAGTACATAACCAGAGGTACCACTGTATAATGAATTGAAAAAGAAATGTTCAAAATAACCTTTGTGAAAAAACCAGAAGACTTTTTGTTAGGTATTCTAGGATAAGAATTGCTGAAGAAAAATCAGACATTATTCATTTATGCTACTATGGTAGCAAGAATTCTAATTGCACAAAATTGGAAGACTGGAGAAATACCATCTAAAGAACAATGGCAAGAAAAATTGATGAAGTATGCAGAACTGGCAAAGTTAACAGACAAACTGCGTGAAAAGGACAATAGTGACTTTGGAAAAGAATGGGATCTCTTTACAATATACTTGCAGAAACAAACAAAAAAAACATGGACATGAAAAAAATTGTTGGCAGGATTTACAACTTTATTTACAGAGAACAAGAAATATAATTAGTGATAACAGAACATTATGTATAAACAGCAGAATGTGACATTTGGCATAACAAGACAAAAATGGAAGTTGGGGGAAGTCTACAGGGGGGGGACTAGAAAATGGATGTTAAATGATGATATTGAACAATTGTTATGAGAAAAGAAAACCAATAAAAAATATTTTAAAAACAACAACAACAAAGTGCTGGTTTTGACCTATAAAGCCTTAAACGGGACTTCCGGAGCGGCACGCCAGAGAGACGGGTGGAGATCCGCGCTCTTGCAATCTCTGGTACCAGAGAGAGAGAAACGAGGGACTAGGCGTAAGTCACCTCGACCTCAGGGGCGGAACCTGAGGGCTGAAGCCAAAGGCAGCGCAAAAAGGTTTCCCAATATTATATAACAAAGAAAACTGCCATAAAAGGTGTTGGGAAGACCTTTGCTCAAAGAGGCGAAACCATTCTCTGGTACAAATGCCCCAACTCCCTGGCACGGCGGGTGATAAATAGGAGACTGTTAAAAGCAAACGCCTCCCCTGTAATATAAAACTGAAAAAGAACAATAGAAAAACCTCTGCCTGTTCAGGGGAGGAAAGGGGAGGCGGGAAGAAAACAGTTTGTGAAGGAAACTACAGAACCGAACAGACAACAGAGAAGGGGGCCATATTCCCCACGCGGAAAACCTCTGTTAATAATCTCACAAAGTGTTCTAAGGAAGCGTGACTAGATACACCAGATAGAGCAAAAATAAACAAACCAAATCAGAAATTAGAAGAGTAAACTACCGGAGGACTTTATAAAGGACCGGTAACTGCATTGAAAATAAATGACTTAAAAATAGACCCGCTGGGAAAAAATAATTTGAGAAAACCTTAAATGGCTCAGGACCGCAATACCTCAAGGACTGCCTCTTTCCATATGAACCTAGCCAGATCCTGAGATCATCTTTTGAGAGCCCTTATTTGTGTGCCTCCTCCTCAAGAGGTCCGGAAGGTGGCATTATGAGGACAGGTCTTGTCTGCAGTGGCTCCCCCCTGTGCCAAGATCGACCCCCAGGAAGGATTGTGTAGCTGCACCAATCATCCCCTGGATGGATCGCCCCGCCCCTTGGGCGGATCACCCCGGGGGCATGGCATGTATGCCGCTCCAGGTGCCGGAACACCTAGCTCAGCCACTGTACCCATTCCCCTCTGCTCTATCTTGGCTCACTTTCTGAAATGTATTCCATTTAAAACTTCTGTCTCTGTTTCTCAAAAACAGATGTGATTCAGGGGAGTCACAATTAGAGTCACACAGGGAGTGTTTATTCTGTCCCATGATTTACTTTAGGCATTTTGCCCAGGCTTTAAATAGTGAAAATGGCACAGGGGAAATGAGGAACCCCAGCAGTACCTTTGCTGTAATTGAAACTGACTCCCTGCCTGAGGCTCCTTTAGATTAAAACAAGCCAGCGAACAAAACCTAGTGCCCAGAGATTGGAGCATGTCTGTTTTGCCACTGAGCAGGCTTGCCAACTCTGAAGTGTCTTTGGACCCTTCAGTATCTGTTGGTAGGGGACCAGGCCCCCTGAGGGGGTGGAAGAGGCCAAGCCAAGGGAATGTGGGCTCCTGTGTGCAAGAGAGGAGGTGCTGCCAGCCATTGAAGCCGCTCCAGGCTCTGCGTTTGGTCTCTTCCTGGCAATGTGATGTTGTAAGTGCATGACATCACAAGCACGCAATGCACACAGGGGCCCCTTAATCTTGGGCACAAGATGGCGCCTCTGCCACCAGGTGCCTACATTCTTTATTTACTCTGTATGTTTTCTATGCTGTTCTCCCTTCACCTTGCAGCCTGACCCTAATAGTTGCAGAAGAGCTCAGAGGGAAGTGTGTGCCTCCTGCTGCTGGTTAGGCCGGCATCACATTGGAGGAGGGCAAAGAGGCAGGCACTAGCGTCTTAGGCAGGCAGCTGCAAGTCAGGCACCTGCAAGTTAGCAGCTAAGGGACAGGTGTTTTAGACAGGTAGAAGAGTAGGCAGGGCAGGGTATCCTGGCAGCAGGAAGGAAGACTACTCACCAGCTCAGAGTCCAAGCTGCTGTGCTTGGGTGTTACTATGTCACCCACCATAGAAGAAAATCCTTTCACTTGCTATGTTGGCTGGTGGGCAAGAACCTCTTTCCTGGACTGGGTCCTGCCAGACCAGGCTGTGGGCTGACCAGCAGGCCTTAGGATCAGTGGTGATGTTTTTTGTGGAATCCACTAGGTAACATACATACATACATACATACATACATACATACATACATTTGATTTATATACTGCCTTATACCCATGGATCTCAGGATGGTTCACAGAATAAAATCAAGATATAAAACTACAAAATACCTAATAAAAATAGAAACAACAACCCAATAGCCCCCCCCACCACATTTTTAAAGGGCATAGGATGTAAATTGGATCAACCAAAGGCCTGGTTAAAAAGGAACATTTTTGCCTGGCACCTAAAGTTGTATAACTTCCCTGGGGAGAGCTTCAGGCTGAAGTGGGGTGACATCCCCCCCCCCCGCCCCGCAACTCCCCAGCCTACAGCAAGCTGGGGGAAGAGGAAGAGCCACAGCAGCTGCTTTGCCATTCACCGCTTTGCCGCTTGCTGGGTTTGGGGGAGTTGCAGGGGGGCGTGCCAAATGTCACCCCCCTTCAGGATGGCATCCAGTGCAGAGCGCACCCCCTCCACCCCCATTGCTACGCCCCTGGGTGGGTATCCTCTACATTGCCAAATCCATACACAGAAGGGCATGCTACACTTTGCCATGAGTGGGGAAGGTCAGCTCTCTGTCTCCTGGCCCCCAAAATTGTCTGAGAGGAATCAACAGGGAACAGAACCCTCACTTAGTATGGCAAATTGCGCAGACCAGTGTTGGATGCTGGAACCTCTTCATGTTTATCAGCACTGTAACTTCAACAGCTGATTTAAACCATCTCTCTCTCTTGGGGCAATGTCAGACTACATTCATGTGTCTGTTTTAATTCAATTTCTCCTCTTGTATAAAGCAGTTCATTCCAGATCTTGACATTTTTCCCAGATCACCATCTTTTTCAAAATGCATTTGAAAAAGATGGTGATCTGGGATAAATGTCAAGATCTGGGATGAACTGCTTTATGCATAGTCTGAATTTAACATACTGCTTTATCATCTTGAAAACATCTTGAGTTTCTGAGTCTGCTTCATAATTCTCCTGCTAATCCCCACTTGTTAGGATTACTGTGCCTTCTTCAAGTTACTGGTCTTTGTGCCATCTTTTTACAATAGCTGCAATTTACAATAACTTTACAATTCACATACAGCTTGGCAGCTTCAATCATACGCCACTTATTACTGCTCTGCATAACAAGGACTTTCATTAGTGCTCAGTGAAATGACAATTTCCTTAAGAGGGAAAACAGTTCAAAGCAGTTCTGAAATGTCACAGGCAAGCCTTGCCCAGTCAACTTTATAATTTTGTTAGCTTGATAAGCAGAACGTTTGTATTATTAAATAAATGGATTTTCCACTTTCTCGCTGGAAACAACCAAACAATTAAATTTTATTGCCTTAGCTGGAGGATAAAACAATCAGTTATACACAACTTGTCCCCACATGCTGTCTCCCAGCCATTTACTGAACCAGAATGGAATGAAAGGTGAAGTTGTGAGTTGGGGGGCAGAGCCCCCTAAATTCTTAAGTTTAGTCAATGTTATAATTTAGCTAATATTTGGAGTATAAAGGAAGATGCCAACATACAGGCTATACCGGATTTCCTGTTCTGATAGAACAGGCTGATAGAAGTGCCATTAAGAAACAAAGAGAGCAGAGTACCAGGTCATTAAGAGCAATTGACAATGCATAGACTGCCTGTGCTGGGATGTTTTTGCCTCTGCGCATGGGTCTGGGAATGTTCTGATCAGTTCACATTGAGTTCAGTACCCTGACCTGTTCTTAACACATTGTTGACCACATCTACGGAACGCGATTGTTATGTTCTTTCATGTCATGCAAAATCAATCATTAGTAATAGTTTAAGTCTTGATACTCAATCACTAGTTAATAGTTTAATAAGGAGGTTTCACGCCTGTCCAATTCTGTGTTCCCTTTCCCACCCTTTAATCTATTGATGATTAATACCTATTGTCAGAGCTGGCTCCAGGTCCCAGCTCACAGAGGACCAACGCTAGCCGGCAGTAATGTACAAAAGTCTTTATTGAAGTACAGTTTCCATTTTCAAGCCGGAGCGCCCCAGCTCTACGTCTAGGGGTTAGATCGGCGAAGCTCCATCTGAGTCTCCGCCCCTGTACACCAGTTTAAGATTCTAGCCTTACTCCACCTCTTACGTCTCTCCTTTCTCCTCTGGGTCCTGCTACCCCCCGGGGTCCCTTCCTTCCTGGATTCTTCTGACGCTGACCCCCTGACTCCTCCCCTCTTTTCGGCGGGCTTTGGGACCTGGCTCCCTATCCGGGCTGCCAACTGCGCCGCCCTCCTGTACATTTGAACTTTGCGCGCGCGCCCAGCCTTCAACCTTCCTCTCGACCGTTTCCTCGCTCCCCGATGGAGGCGTGGCCAATCCTGACTCATGTCCTCCCACTGGCAGTGCGCCGCCTGATCCCGATGCCTGGGACTCCTCCCCCCCTACTGCACTCTGGTGTGGACGCTGGTCCTGATTTCCAACTGCTGCTCTCTGAGTCCCCTCTGGCCCCTTCTTCCTGGGGTGTCCCCTCGGCACCCCCTTGCTCTGACCAAGGGAGCCCCTTTCTGTGAATCTTCCGATTCGCTGGAAAGACTCAGAGACCTCGGACCGCTGTCATCGCTAACATTTCCTTCGGACTCCTCCCCCTCGCTCTCTATTTCCTCCCTTTCCTGTGCCTCTGCTCCTGAACCCCTGACATCCATCCCCCTCGAAGCCCCCCTTCCCCCTCCCCTCCTTCAGGTGTGGGTACTGGGTGCTCCGTCGTTGTGGGGGTGAGTGCCGGATACAGTTCGTCCCCGTGGCGTGCATCCAGCCGGATAAGTCCGGCTCGTCCTCCGTGCTCTCGCCGACCTCAATTTCCTCTGCTTCCATCTCTTTGCCGCCGTGCTCGAACCCAAGGTCCTCCCCCAACACGTCCATGTCCGTCTCTCCCCGGTCTCCTCCGGGGACGTTGCCTGCCAAGGACCCCCCAACCACTTCCTGCGCCACTGCTCCTCTGGTTGATTGTCCCACCAATAGGAACGGTCTGAGGCAGACCCCGAGGGTGATCCCTCCGGGGAACGTGCTTCTAGTGCCGGTTCCTCGTCCGAGGTGAACCCCTGGAATGTGCTAGCTGAAAATGTGGGTGTGAAAAGCCAGTCGTCGAAATACTCGGCTGGCATGGGCCTGTGTGGGAAAAGTGCATGGAACTCGTCCTTGAGCCAAGATTCCTCCAGAGCATAATCTGGCACCCAACTGTTGGCGCTAGCCGGGGTACCTTCCTTGGCGAGGAGGTATTCCACTCCCTCCTCCCCCCATCGCGAGTCTAAAATCTCTGTGACTTCGTTGACGGGTTCCCGCCTTGGCGACCCCCCCCTTGTGGGCGTTTCCCTGAACGGGTCTGGTGCCGTTCCTGGCTCCTGAAATCTATGAGGTGCTTTGTAGGGCGTGAGCACTGATCTATGGAAAACTGGGTGCATTCTGGATCCCTCCGGCAGTGTCAACCGGAAGGCCACTGGATTGACCTGTGCCTCGACTTGGTAGGGTCCTAGCTGCTTATGCCCTAGCTTCTTCTTCGCTAACGATCTGGCCGGCACTGCCTGGGCTGCTAACCAAACCCAGTCTCCCACCTGTATGTCTTCCCCAACCCTCCTGTGCTTGTCAGCCTGCAGTTTGTATGCGTGCTTTGCTAGTTCTAACTGCCTCCGAAGCTGTTCGTGAACCTCCTGCAACTCTGATGCTAAGGCTTCCGCTGCCTGTGGCTCCCCTCCCCGCTCTCGCTAATCCCGGGAAGGTTCTGGGATGCCTCCCGTTGTTGGCGAAGAACGGTGTCACCCCCGTGGACACGTGCTTCGTGTTGTTGTAGGCGAACTCAGCGAGCGGCAGGTAGTCCACCCATGTTGCCGGCTGCTGATTTGCGTAGCATCGCAGGTACTGCTGCATGATGGCGTTGACTCGCTCCGCTTGTCCGTTCGTCTGCGGGTGTCTCGCCGACGCTAGGTTGATCTTGACGTTCAGGAAACCCATCAGCTTCTGCCAGAAGTTCGAGATAAACTGTCGCCCCCGTCGGACAGGATAGACCGTGGCAGACCGTGAACTCTGAACACGTGGTCTATGAACAGTTTGGCGGTCTGTTCCGCCGTGGCCACCTTCGCGCACGGAATGAAGTGGGCCATTTTGGTGAACATGTCCACCACCACTAGCACTGCCGTCTTGCCCCTCGAGCTGGGTAGATCCGTGACAAAGTCCAGGGCCACCCTCTCCCACGGTTCGAGCGGTGTCTGCAGGGGTTCGAGCAGTCCCGCCGGCGGTTTGTGCACTGACTTGGCCCTTTGGCAGGTGTCGCACCTCGAGACGTAATCCGCGACTTCCCCCCGCATCTTGGGCCACCAAAAATCTCTGGCTACTAATTCCACCGTCTTCTCTTTGCCAAAGTGCCCGGCGGTGGGTGCGTCGTGCAACTGCTGCAGTACTGTCGCGCGGAGGTCGTCTCCCGGTACGTAGAGGGCCCCTCTGCGGATGAGCAATCCGTCGCGTATCTGGAACTCGTCGTCCTCCGCCGTGCCCCTTTGCACCTCTGCCATCTTTGCTTGCGCGAAGGGGTCCTCCTGCAGTGCTCGACGTACAGCATCCAGGTCCACGGTTGCTGAAGCGCACGCCCACGATTTAGGTGCGAAAATGTGCTTGGCCGCTGCTGGTGCCGCCTCCTCGAGGTATTGCGGCTTTCTGGACAGTGCATCCGCCATGATGTTGTTGTCGCCTGGGATGTACTCTATCCTGAAGTCGAAATCCGCAAAGAACTCCGCCCATCGTATGTGCCTCTGGTTCAGGAACCTTGCCGTGCGCCAGTACTCCAGGTTTTTATGGTCCGTGCGGACCTGCACTGTGTGTTTGGCTCCAATGAGGAAGTGCCGCCACGCCTTGAATGCTGCATGAATGGCCAGCAACTCCCTGTCCCAGATGGTGTAGTTCTGCTCTGACTTGCTGAGCTTCCTGGAGTAGAAGGCACACGGTCTCCAGTCCCCATGCGGGTCTTGCTGCAACAGTACTGCTCCCACGGCTCTGTCTGAGGCGTCCGTTTCAACCCTCATCGGTCTGCTGGGATTCACATGCAGTAGCTGCTCTTCGGACGAGAAGAGACGGCTTGAGTTTCTGAAAGGACTGCTCCGCTTGCTCCGTCCAGATGAACTTCTTCTTCTTGGAGCTGAGCGTGTCGGTGATGGCCGCCGTCTGCATCGCGAACCCCTTGATGAACTTGCGGTAAAAGTTGGCGAAACCGACAAACCGCTGGACCTCCTTCCGATTGCGCGGGCTCTTCCAGTCCAACACTGAGCGAACCTTGGCGCTGTCCATGGCGAGCCCCTTGTCCAACAACTTGTAGCCCAGGAAATCTACCTCCTTCATGTCGAACTGGCACTTCTCCAGCTTGGCGTACAGCCTGTGCTCCTGCAGTCTCTGCAGAACTTCCTTGACGTCTCCCTCGTGGGTCTCCTCTGATTCTGAAAATATCAGGATGTCGTCCAGGAAGCAGACGCATTTCTTGTAGAGGAGACCCGCCAATACGTGATGCATGAAGGCTTGAAAACAGTGGGAGCCATTTTGTAATCCAAAGGGCATAACTCTGTATTCATAGGTGCCCAGGAGCGTGAACATGGCAGTCTTCCATTCGTCGCCCTCCCGTATGCGAATCAGGTTGTACGCTCCTCGCAGATCCAACTTTGTGAAAACGCGTCCTTTCCTCACCGTTGCGAGCAGGTCATCTATCTTGGGCATGGGAAAGGCTGTGGGCTTGGTTTTCGAGTTCAAAATTCTATAGTCCACCACAAGCCTTTTTTGGGGCGTGTCCTTCTTCTTCACAAAGAATACAGGACTGCCCCCCACTGCCTTCGACTCCCGGATGAAACCGCGCTTCAAGTTGAGGTCTATGAACTCCCTGAGTTCCTGCAGCTCGTCTTCAGACATGGAATACAGTTTCCCGGTTGGCAGCGTCGCCCCTGGCAGGAGGTCAATCTTGCAGTCATAAGACCTGTGGGGAGGTAGCTTGTCCGCTTCCTTCTCGCAGAAAACCTCCAAAAACGCTGCGTACTTGAGTGGCACTGCTTGCAGCGTGCCTAATTGTAGCTGCGGATCATCCTCTTCCCCTTCCGGGCTAGGCAGAATGCAATGTTCCGCACAGTATGAGGAGCCGAAGGTCAGTTGTCGCTGGTACCACGCCAATGCTGGGCTGTGCCTGTGCAGCCAACTCATGCCTAATACTATAGGCGTGTCCGACAGTTGGGTGACATTGAAGCTGATGACTTCTCGGTGATTCCCAATTTGCATCACCATCGGAGGCGTTTGCTGCACCACCTGCCCCCCCAGCAATTCCCTGCCATCCACCGTGACAACCTTCAGAGGCAGCGTGGCTGGCAGGAGTGCTATGTTGTGCTCTTGAAGGAAATCCAGTCCTATGAAGTCTGCGTTACTACCAGAGTCAATGGTAATCGGCACTTCCATAGTGAGTCCATTGGGTAGTTGGAGCGATGCTGTGAGCTGCACCACTGGTTTGGGCGGGAGGGGTCTGTGGGCTGCAAAATCTCTGGGGACGGCTTCATTGACTTGTCTGGTTGGGCCCCAGTGCCTCTTCCTCCAACCAGACTCTGTCGTTTCCCTGCTGTGGTTCTCTCTGCTGAGTTGCTTCTGTTACTGTTGCTGAGGCTGCAGTGTGCTTGTGGAGCCTCTGGGGACACTCTTTCGCCATGTGCTGAGCACTGTCGCAGATGTAGCACTTCCTGTTCCCTCTAGGAGGCTTCGCTTTGACTGCTCCCGGTGTTAAGGCTCTGGTTGCTGACTGAGCCCTGGCGCCTCCAATCTCCATCGGTTGCTCTCCCCCTCCTTGCGGAGGTGGGGATTGCACACGCACTGCATCCTTGGGAAAAAGGGGAGGTGCTCTCACTGGCGTACGTCCCCAACGTCCTTCTTCTCTATTCCATGGACGTTCTTCCAGACGCACCCCAATTTGCAGCGCCCGCCGGACAACCTCCTGAGTGCTCTTTGGTCTCTCCCCCCTTGCAATCTCATCTTTCACATTTGCATTCAAGCCTTCCCAAAAAGGTCTCTGGCTGGGGCAGAATCCTTCTCCCATCCCAGCGCATGGACTAATGCTAAAAAGCGGGAATGGTACTGCCTTACACTGGCTCTGCCTTGTTGGAGCCCATGTATGTCTTTTCTGGCGATATCAATGTCTATATTTGATAAAAAACACGAATCCATCGCTTTAATGAATGCATCCGCATTTTGGAGCGCCGGATCCTTATCTCTCCACAGATTGCGCAGCCACGCTTTAGCTTCCCCATGCAAATGGGACAAGATAAACCCCACCTTCTCTTGCTCATCTCTAAAGTCTTTATCCAGCAGTTCCAGCGCAAACAGCACGTCTGCTCGGAAGTTAGGGTACTGCTGCAAATTCCCATCGAAATGAGATACCAGGCTGCCTCCTCTTTTCCCCAGCCCAATCCCCTCTGATTTGGGTCCCGGTTGCCCCTGCTTAGCAAGCACTTCCAACCTGGCTTGGAGATCCCTGCAGGCGGCAGCCGCTTCCTCTTCCCTTTTCCTGGATGCGAGTACCTCCGCGTTGAGTTGTGTCACTGCATTTTGCAGGGCTGCTAGTTGCTGTTCTGTAGTCATCTTGCCTGACTTTTGTGAGCTCGCGAAGCACCAATCTTCTCCCCTCGCTGCGTCCACTCACGTTACGAGGTTTTTGGTGCAAAACTTTTAGAGATGGAGCTTACTGTCAGAGCTGGCTCCAGGTCCCAGCTCACAGAGGACCAACGCTAGCCGGCAGTAATGTACAAAAGTCTTTATTGAAGTACAGTTTCCATTTTCAAGCCGGAGCGCCCCAGCTCTACGTCTAGGGGTTAGATCGGCGAAGCTCCATCTGAGTCTCCGCCCCTGTACACCAGTTTAAGATTCTAGCCTTACTCCACCTCTTACGTCTCTCCTTTCTCCTCTGGGTCCTGCTACCCCCGGGTCCCTTCCTTCCTGGATTCTTCTGACGCTGACCCCCTGACTCCTCCCCCTCTTTTCGGCGGGCTTTGGGACCTGGCTCCCTATCCGGGCTGCCAACTGCGCCGCCCTCCTGTACATTTGAACTTGGCGCGCGCCCAGCCTTCAACCTTCCTCTCGACCGTTTCCTCGCTCCCCGATGGAGGCGTGGCCAATCCTGACTCATGTCCTCCCACTGGCAGTGCGCCGCCTGATCCCGATGCCTGGGACTCCTCCCCCCCTACTGCACTCTGGTGTGGACGCTGGTCCTGATTTCCAACTGCTGCTCTCTGAGTCCCCTCTGGCCCCTTCTTCCTGGGGTGTCCCCTCGGCACCCCCTTGCTCTGACCAAGGGAGCCCCTTTCTGTGAATCTTCCGATTCGCTGGAAAGACTCAGAGACCTCGGACCGCTGTCATCGCTAACATTTCCTTCGGACTCCTCCCCCTCGCTCTCTATTTCCTCCCTTTCCTGTGCCTCTGCTCCTGAACCCCTGACACCTATATTCAACCCTTGCATTGTATTCATGTTAACCAATCAGCAACAAGCACATATGTGGAAATGCTGTAATATTCAATAAAAGGGACTCTCCGAGACATGCTCGGGAGATGCCTCCCGTATGACACCTTGCCATTCGTCTGTCGCTTATTTCAACCCAACATCCTAAGAGACAAAAGAGTTGGGATGGGAAGGTTGCCAAGGTTACAGGGGGCCTGATGTCATCACAGGGGGAAAAGTGTACTTCTGCAGGAAGTTTTTGGAAAGAGAAGATTGGCTGGGAGAGACCAGGGAGCATGTCTGGCGTCTGCTCTGGATCCAAGAAGCTGTGGGAGAAGCAACTAGAGACACTTGGGGTGCAATGTTCTGCACTCCATCAAGGCTCAGGTTTATAAGGTAAAAGGTAAGGGACTCCTGGTCCAGTCCAGTCAAATTCGACTATGGGGTGTGGTGCTCATCTTGTTCCAGGCCAAGGGAGCTGGTGTTTGTTCACAGACAGCTTTCTAGGTCATGTGGCCAGCATGACTAAACAGCTTCTGGTGCAACGGAACATTTTGTGTGTGTGTGTATACAGTGGTACCTCGGGTTACATACGCTTCAGGTTACATATGCTTCAGGTTACAGATTCCGCTAACCCAGAAATAGAAGAACTTTGCTTCAGGATGAGAACAGAAATCGTGCTCTGGTGGCGCGGCAGCAGCGGGAGGCCCCATTAGCTAAAGTGGTGTTTCAGGTTAAGAACAGTTTCAGGTTAAGAACGGGCCTCCGGAACGAATTAAGTACTTAACCCAAGGTACCACTGTATATGTGTGTGTGTGTGTGTGTGTGTGTGTGTGTGTATGTATGTAATAAAATTATATATCTTAAAGACACTACAGTCTCTGCTGTGCCAAAACCCCTGGAATCTTGCACTGCTCAGCAGAGATTGGGGTGGCCTGTAACAATATGTTAGGAGACCAGAAATAAAGAACCAAGACACATGGTGGGGCACTTTATTAAACTATAATTTAAGAAATTATGAGCTTCTACAACTGCATAGAGAACAAACAGGGGTGGCCTAAGACATTTTGGCACCTGAGTTGAATGAAAAATTGGTGCCTGCCCCCACCAAGGAAGAAGGGGTGAGTGAAGATCTACATCAGGAACTATTCACCAAGAGGATGTTGTAGAGGCAGCATGGGGGGGGGGGGTTCTGAGGAGGAGCTTCAGGTGTTGCTGCTACTGTGGTGGCAGCAGCAGGTGATGCATTCCTTGGAGGCTGGATGCCACCCCCACTCTCTGCTGGAGGGTTCCAGGGTTCACCCAGGGTTTGTGTTCCTTGGGAGGATTGAGCCACAGTGGAGACTTTAAGAAGTAGGGTTTATTCACCCACCTGGCCTGAATATGAGCTGCACCCGAATATAAGCCACACCTTTAAAATTGGAAGGGGAGAAAGAAAATAAGAAAAAATACCCACATATACCGTATTTTTCCATGTATTAGACAAGGTTTTTTGACTAAAAAATCATGTCAAAAAACTGGGGCCGTCCAATTCACAGGTAGTGGCATGGGGGAGGAGAAGTGGCACACCTGCCAGCCAACCAGATGGCGGGAGTGCAACTTCTCCTGATGCTGCTGCACATGGGAAACACTCCCTAGTGTTTCTGCCTCCAGACACTCACACGGGACCTTCACTGCTTTCACTGGTTCCAATGTGAAAGAGAGGTAGAGATCTAGTTATCTCCCACTTGGACTACTGCAATGTGCTTCTTGAAAGTGACCCGGAAACTACAATTAATCCAGAATGTGACAGCTAGACTGGGACTGGGAGTGGCCGCCGGGACCATATAACACCAGTCTCTACATTGTCTCCCAGTATGTTTCCGAGCACAAGGTCAGTTGGTGCTGACCTTTAAAGCCCTAAGTGGCCTCGGTCCAGTATACCTGAAGGAGCTTCTCCACCCCCATCATTCAGCCCAGACACTGAGGTCCAGCGAGAAGCGAAGTTGCAGGGAACCAGGCAGAGGGCCTTCTCACTAGTGGCACCTGCCCTGTGAAACACCCTCCCATCAGATGTCAAGGAAATAAACAACTATCTGACTTTTAGAAGACACCTGAAGGTAGCGCTGGTTAAGGAAGTTTTTAATGTTTGAAGTTTTATTCTGTTTTTAGTGTTCTGTTGGAAGCCACCCAGAGTGGCTGGGGATACCCAGCCAAATGGGCGGGGGGGGGGGATAAGTAATAAATGATGATGATGATGATGATGATGATGATGATGATGATTTTATTGAGAATTTCTTCCCTCCTGCTCAGAGGTGTGAACAGAGACTGGGGATTTGGAAGGTGGCCCGCGTAACTTGGTGTGAGGTGACAGGAAAACAGAGACTTTTAGCAAGGGGTTCTGGGGGGAAGAAGGAAGAGGAAAGAAGCGGATCCATCTCGGGCAGTCTGGCTCCTTGCTGGCTGAGAGCCAGTGTGGTGTAGTGGTTAAGAGCGGTAGATTCGTAATCTGGGGAATCCGGTTCGCGTCTCCACTCCTCCACGTGCAGCTGCTGGGTGACCGTGGGCTACACACTTCTCTGAAGTCTTTCAGCCCCACTCACCTCACAGAGTGTTTGTTGTGGGGGAGGAACGGTTAGCTGCTTTGAGACTCCTTCGGGTAGTAATAAAGCAGGATATCATATCCAAACTCTTCTTCTGAGATAGATGCCTTGGACTCCCAGGATGCACTGCTGTGTGTTACAAAGCACTCTTGAAATAGCTCTGCTGTAAGAGCTGGACTCCCTCCATGCAGACTGAAGGTGCAAAGACTGTATTCTCCTGAATATAAGCCTCACTTTCCCCAAAAATTCAGACTATGAAAAATTAAAGTGTGGCTTATATTCACAACCTTACAGTATGCAGCAAGGAGCACTGGGCAAACAGTGCCAGGAGTGCAGCAAAGCACCCTGCATTGTCCCCTATCCCCAAGGCCGGGAAGAGAGAGAGCAAGGAAGGGGAAAGGCTGCTGGCAACG